ATAGCTAGAAACATAAGCTATTCATGATAACAAACAGCATATATGAAGCAAAGTTAAGGAAATATTGGATGCTGGGTAATCTACCTGTAAATCCAATGGCTTCGGCGAGTAGGAAGGAGCTATATGACATTAAAACGAATAAGGTAGTTTCGAAAAGAGGAAAATCTTTAACGTGTGTGAACTTTGTTAGAAGCGAAGTACAGCATCCAACAAGTACTCCGAGAAGAAATGATCCACTAAACATGCCAATGAAATTACCAATGGCACTGAGCATTGCTTTAGAATCAAAAGTCTTGTTATCTGTCAATGATCCATACTTCTCTACGGATCTAAAATAAAATTTACGGATATAATTACACTCCAAATAGGTAGATTTGCCTCTCAAAAAACTTAGTCAAAATAGAACGTACTGAGACAATCCAATTGCTAAAGCGTCGTTAAGTACGCTTTCACCAAAGACAAGAGCATAAAGATCCACGTCAACTCCAAGATCGTGAAAAATAGCTAGAATAGTAACTGCATTGTGCAATATGAAATATATTGTTGCATACCTGGGTCGGTGGCAGAAATCATAGATCCGAATAAAACACAATCACTAAAGTAGAGTTGATCTTTAAGTCCACTTATTGGTCTGGTAAAGCCATAACAGATTACTCTAAAAGATAAAATAAATAATAAATTGGCCTACGCTATTATGAATGCCGAGAAAAATGTTCCAAAAACCGCATATGTTATGATTGCCCCAATATTGCGGAAAAAGTAGTGCTATGGCTGATTAAAATAGTGAAACTTACTCTCTTCATGCTATAACCTGCCGCAAATATTATGGGGGGCAACAACAAATTGAAGAATATTTCCGGGTCAAACGTTGCCTAAATATATTGAATTCAACAAAACAGCGGCTATAACCTTATCGTTTGAAGGAGAGTCGGCAAATGTTTGTCCCTCAAATGCATACTGGTAAGAAAGTGATTCTTTCAACTCTTCTGATGTATTATTAACAGAAAAACGGAGAATAATTTTTTCAGGAGGAAGATTGCATGTCGCATTTTCAGGTTGAAACGTGAGTAATGAGGTTGTAGACTGGGTCACACCAAAACGCATCGCAGCGCCAACAATAAGCCCTTTAAAAATTAATACATCTGATTGTACCATATATGACAGATAACCCGGTTTCATGAACAAAACGCAAGCGTCGGTGCTTGAACATCCATATCGTCAGAACAGACAGGATTAATAGGATAACATATACTAACAAAACAAGATTGTCTAATCTATGATCCTTTCGAATTCGTTCTTCAGTTAAAGCTTCTACATCTTTCGTTTCTATCTGTAAACAATTCTGCTCAGCCGACGCCGGATACTTAGACATCACCTTGACTGATGCGCCACTTCATCTGGCAAAAATAAAAGTCTAGATAACACATTTAGCTTCTTTATTTTAAATTATTGTTAAAATAATATTCTATACAGTTGGTGCTTTTTGTTTAGAGTTAGACGCTGAATGCTGATAAATGGCATCTAATCGTCCTTTCACGTGCGATGACCTTCTCCAATATACCAATGTGTGAGCTCTATAATTTTCCTATTGGATTATACTTATCTGCTATGGCAAGCGTGTTGATATTTTTAATACTTTTGCTCTCCTTATCATTGTCACCAACCGTTATATTAAATTAGCGAGTTTCATGTTCTCATTTATGTTTTTATGACGTCACACTCAATTATTTTGAAGAAAAACAAGACCAATTTAAGGCTTTATGTCAAGTTCTGGTTAGGGCTTGAAGTGGTATAGGCTATTCCACAATTTCCTATTTCTAAATTTGGCTTAATAAATATACCACTACAATA